ATCTCCGCTTTTGGTGCTTATATAGCACCCATTCAGTCCTCTAAATGTACCCTACAAACAATTCCATAGCAAGATGTGGTATCATTTTACAAAGAAGTACAGTGAAAGATACATAACCAAGATCCATGGACTACCTGAAAACCAAATCTCTCTCTGCATGGAAAAACATTATTTAAAGAGTGCTAAGAGAGTATAAAAGAGTAGTATTGGTAAAAACTACCTTTAGCATATCTTGGCTGAGTTTTTTAAAAGCTGTAGGATAAAATAAAGGCTCCTCTGCATTCATAGCTAGATGTGTTATTAAAAGGCTTACTCTTTAAAAGCGCTAAGTGTGCTGTCACTCCCATGGACAAGCAGTGTGCAGGAGCGAAAGGGACTTGGTCTGTTACATAAATGCAGTCACAGCACCCGTTCGTGTTCAGAGAATGACTGCAGACTGGGCAGGTAAGATCTCTCACTGCCTTGTAAGTTGCATTTGTCTCAGCTGTGAAGCAGAATTGCAGCGTGGTGTTCAGAAGCATTATGGGTTTAATGTAAAGCAGCGTTTTTAGCTTACAAATAATCTGCGTTAAAGACAGAGAGAGAAGAGGGGGCAGCAGAGGAGGCTGTGCTACACGATACTCTCCTAGCTCTGCTCAGTCACAGTGCTGATTTGATGAAGTTGTGCAAAAATTCACCATCCGGGAAATAAAATTAATATGCCCCACGTGCAAAATGGGAGCTATTTGATTTCCTTGAGCGTAAGATCCAGATGCTTGATAAGGGTTCAGGTTACAGACCCCGTGTGACAGCTTCAGCCCTGCTGGGTGCTGTACCTGCGCTGCAGTACGGGGGCTGCTGAGTACTTCTGGAACGCGTTTTGGAGGAACACATGTGAACCGTCAACATGAGATGGTTTATTGATGTGACATTGCATACAAACACAGGAAGCCTATTATAAAACACTCTATTCTCCTTTCCTGTCTGGTCCACAGATATATAGGCATGTCACATACGAGTGTGTATATATATTTCTTTTCCATTCTAGTACTCGGGAGAGCCTGGCATCCAACACTTCGAGTATTGTTGAAAGCAACAGACGTCAGAACCCCGCTCTGAGCCCTGCACACGGCGGGGCAGGCCCAACCTTCAACTTCCGAGCCACCGCAGACCCGCCGACAAGCGAAGCTGAGAAACTGCAGAAACCAGCTAACTGCCTGCAAGCTTCTGTCACTAGTGTCTGATAGTCATCCTGCCTCAGAATTTCTGTCTCATCCTATACAGTAAAGTTTACGACACTGGGACTGATGTTTACATCTTTGGGGAAAAAAAAAAAAAAAAAGCATCTCAACCACAGTTTTAGTGTTTACTTAAACTGTGCTGCTATGTAGACTAGGGGCAACAAAGAAATCTTTATTTCAAGGTATTGCTTTTCACATTTGCGGCTCTGTAGCAACAGAATAGCAGTAGGGATAATATGTACACTTTTTGCTTCACTTAATTGTAACTGAGCACATATATGAAAGTCTAGACACTGTAAGTGTAATCTGCATTTTCAATGTCCATGCAGTTGCCAAGTTCATTTAAAAAAAAAATGCCACAGATGTGTGATGCCCCCGGTCAGAAGCTAAACTCTGCTGCAGAGTTGTTCTACTTCAAAAATTGAGCCACTGCTGAAAGTAACCAGCCAGGATCACCATGAGGAAAAACGATGCCAAATGTGACAAGTGGTGACCTCAGCTCTAGCTGTGAATTATTAGTACCAATCAGTCATTTTCACTGTGTGTTTTTGGGACACAATTTTGCAAAATACCTGTTTAAGTGAGTAAAAAGAGGTCTTTCTTTTAGAGTATGGAGGGTGGGTAGGGAGACAGCTTCCCCTTTCGTGTTGCAGAAGTATGAGAGATGTTTATGTATGAGACTTGCGACTTGACCTTCCAGAGTCAGAAATGAGGAGGTAGAGGGGGGAACGGAGAGGGAAGGGAAAGCTATAACTGTCACGGAGCCGCAACGTGGAGTGACACAAAATATAGGGAATATCTTCAGTATAAATCAAGTATTTAAGAAAGATAATCTAATTCTTGTGTCGCTTCTGGTATTGCAACTCGCCATTAATATAGGAATCAGAATAACTAATTTCTTTGAACAAAAATATTCTTTGTGATATAAATGACAAGTATGGCCTGAAGAATTGATTTCTTTCTAGTGGAAGGACATAAATCTATTTTATGTAGCTTATTAAATAGAGTGCCTAAATTAGGCTATTAAAAATAGCATACATTGTAGTGATTATCAGAGAACAAAATTTAGAGAGTTATAAACTTCTGGCCTTTTTATTCAGTGGATGTTATTTGCAATTTAGCATTTTATGGACACGTCTAGTTTCTAGAAATTAAATGTGTCCATTTGGTTGGCAGTAGAAATCTGAATTCTGTAGGTATGGTATATCCTAATCACTTTCCCCCAAACTGTTGCTCCAAAGTAATTAATACTATGCTAATTACTGCAGAGTAACTTCTAAGGATAGTTGAACTTAAAGAGTAATTTTTAGGCATAGGGTCACATTCTATTCTGTTACTCATGCAACCTGGTAGTGCAACAAACTGACTTCAAAATTAACTCTATCTTTATTTTTTATCAGAACAGACAAATTGGTGGAAGAATAACAAAGATATTAAAATATTCAATAGTCCAAACTGTTGAATAGAAAAGGGACATTTACACTGTCTAGCTCTTGTAGTACACAGGTGTTAAACTCAACTGTACATATTTAAAGCCAGTGTTTTCATCAGGTTCTGGTGACATGTATTACTCTGTACACAGCGTCATTTGAGCTTCACTCATGTTCTATATTGTCATCAGAAGTCTTCACTGAAGGTTCAGCCTTATGTTACGCAGTTGGATAAAGTTCATTTACTTATAAAAATGGCTTTCTAACCCTGGACACAATCAGTTTCTAATTCTGTCAAGGACATCTACAGTACCCAGTAAATGCACAGGTCTGTTTTCCTTGGTTTCAATGTATAAATTCCATTTCATGGGAGCAATAAGACCTTTCAGTGCACATAAAGGAAATTATTGTGCTTTTGGTTGGTTATCAAAGTCACTTGGCCTTTAGCCTTCTGCCTTATCATACCTTCCAAGATGTGCTCTAATTACCATATAATGCTTTGCATGACGCATCTTATTACTCAGTATGTAACTCCAGCCGTACTTATTCCATGCGAACTGTAGAGTCAGAGTTTTTGTGGGGAATTGTCATATACTATGCAGTGGCTGACTGTGATTTTGTTTTCTGAGACAGCTCTGACATCAGTAGTATGTATCAATTCAGTAAATAAAAATGTCAAAACTTAAAACATATATATATATATATAGCTGATGATCTGAAGTACTAATGGCAGTATTAAAATGTGAACAGCAAAAACAAATTTCACCTTTTGGAGAAATGTTTGTTTGTCATAAGCTAATCAGAACTTATGCAGGCAGCTGGTTGTACAGAAGACATAATTCCAACAGAATATGACAATACATACCTACAAACTGTTTAGTATGTAATTTCCTAAAGTTCCCAGAGACCAGCAGACAACATAAATGTCATATTAATGTTGACATGGCATTGTACCAATATTAATGTGACTCTTGGAATATGGAATGTAAACAGAAGTTTCAAATAGAAACGTTCTAATCTTGAATTCTTTTTTTTTTTTTTTTTTTTTTTTTTTTTTTTTTCTTTTAAAATCAACAATGGAATATAAGGAAATTCCATCTTGAGGTTCTGGTAACAAAACCACGAGAGTGGAGCTTGAGTGCTTTATGTCACCCTAATCCTTTGATGAAATCATAGCCTTGTATTACATGGTTGCTTATCTGTCATTCTTCTTCTAATGTATCAATTTAAAGGTTTACAGAGTTAGATTAGGTTGAATCTGTGTTGTGTTCAACTGTAAAGGGTCAACACAAATCTGTCGGCATTTTGCACACTTAATATGTATTATTATAATACAACATGTTACTTTTATGGTAATTTTTTTTACACATATAACTACCTCCATGAATTTGATGAAATGCAGCAACATAAAAAGTGTATTGTACAAAGCAAGGTTAAAAACTTTGAAGCATTAGTTCATGGCGTTCTCTTGTGTGTCAATGCTTGCGTATGAGGTCATCATGTTTCCATTGCCACAATTTCCTTTTACAATATTAAAAATCTGTCTTTCAGATGAGTCACTTAAGACTTTGACAAGGCTGCATAATTGGGATAAAAGTGAAAGGGAGGCTCGAACCTTCCATCCTCTCCCCAGTTACTGCTATGATTTCTGCCTGGTAGAACTTGAAAATGTGTTTGTAATTTAGCAAATTAGGAACACCTACAGTCTGTGAAATATGATTGACAGTTTGGGGTTTGACAGAAGACACTCTGGGTATTTTCTTGGCAGCCTTCAAACATGCCGGGGACATGTTCTGCCTCCGTTTTTGCCAACATATCAGGTCATGGTTTCTCTGAACCAGCAAGGGTGTTAGAGCAGCTCTTCCTTCAACGAGACACACTCTGTTTTCTAGAGCGTGTGCATTAGAAACACTTGCTCCTATAGAAATTGCCAGCAGCTTTTAATTGACCAATTGACTTCTCTGGGAGCAGTATTGGGTCCCTACTCGAGGTATGTGCCTATTGTTCAAAGAGCGTGGGCGAGTTTCCAAGAAAAATGAAGCTGGCTTTTGAAAAGTAGCCAGTTGCAACAAGCCACCTTTCAGGAGGGAAAAAAGAAAGATTTTCCAAAAACCAAAGGAAGAAAGTGGCAGTTGAACCTAAGCAGATCACATTTATATACAAACCCCGATTTATGAACACCTCTTTCAGCAAACCTAGTACCATTATCCTGATGCGAGTTAATGTACAATCATCAGCTGAGCTAATTTAGCTGGTTTTAAGTATTTCAGATACAGACCGTAAGAAATCACTATCCGTTTGGCTCCGTGTGCCATTGTGAAATGTCTGTAAAACAAGCAACAACGTTCACTCAACTTTAAAAAGTAAGATGTATTGGGAAACAAATACTTTAATTAAAACCATGGCCCGAGTGCTTGCCAGCGGTAGTCATTTTCATAAAAGAGATGGAGGCCACCATAAACGTGGGTCATGCCTTGCACTTAAGCCATGCCCGAGGGCTGTGGAGCACTCCAGGTGGTACCAGCTGAGCCTCCCAGCACCGAGGCGGGCAGACCTCACCGTCCCTGTCCTCTGGCGGGGCACGCTGAAGAAAACAAGGCTGAGAGTCTGTGGACGAAATTATTAACCAGTTTCTTTCTTTTCTCTTCAAAAGTCACTCGAGTAAGCGTAATAGTTGACCAAAGTGTTCAGTGTTCGTACTCCGGAGCTCATCTTTTCGTGCATTCAGTTTAAGAGGGAAACTACTTTGCTGTCCTGCAGAGACTCTTAGGTTAGCAGTGCCAAAACCAGCTTTCAGTCGTACGAGTACTGCCGGCGGTGGTTTTAGAAACAGTTATTTTAATTAAAAATTTGTTTTTCAAATACATTTCACAGAGCTTTTCCCAAACGCGATTCTTCAAATTGTTGTGCTGAGAAAGCAAATAGCACTCCTAATCTGGTGTCACCCCCCCAGTTTACAATTAATTCCCTTTGCTCTTCTGAAGAAAGCTGTACAGTATTAGAGAGAAATGTTCTATTTTTTACATAATTCTTTAAAAGAAAGCAAAGTATATATCTAAAACATTCCCCCCGACGTAAGTAAAGCGCATCGACCCTGCATCGGCGTGCCCGGGGGCACGCAGCGGACCCAACTAAAGCTGAGCTGGTGCTAGAAGAAAACGGGACTCGCGCCCCAGAGGCTGGGCTCAGCCACGCGGGTCTAAGTCTGGCGTTAACCCCCCCGGCCTCCCACGCGCCGAGCAGAGAGCGGGACTGGTCGCTGGCTCCATTGAAGCTCAGGTCTGAGCTGAGGATTTCTGCCTTCCTCCCCCCCGAGGCACGGCACGACACGCAGGCGAGGCGCAGGAGGCCACGGTGCGCACACCTGGACCTGGAAGGCAGCCCCCCGTTAGCGCCCCTGCGGCACCTCCACAGTGGCTAGAGCCCCCCGAAGGGCGCCCACCCCTAAGTACAAAAGGGCCCGCGGGGTGGTTGGCACAGGGGTCACCTCGACACGCGGAGGAGGCGTTGAGTTGAAAGGGATCATAACTCTGCAGGTAATCGTCCGTGAGTGACTGAATGTGGCTGTTGCATTAGGTCTAAATGAGTTACTAAATGCAAGTGGGACTTACTGTATGTTAGAAGGGAGTTTTGCAGCCAAGACTGCCTTGTATAAATGTGTTTGCACTGAAAAAAAAAAAAAAATTAAAAAATTACTTGGTCTCTGGTTGCTGTAAAGGTCATCCAAGATGGATGTTCTGTTTATATTGTATAGTATTTCATATGAAATAATTACGGTTCATGAAATGTCTTCCCTAACGTTACTGATTTATAACAGCACATTTGTAACATGGTTTTTATTGTGTCAGTGTACCATATTGTAAATGATGATTACTTGTCATGCTTAGTATAATAATTTAAAGGAAAAAAAAAAAAAGGACAGGGATTTTTGTAAGTCTATATTTGAAAGTCCCTCCATATGGTAATATTGTGTTCATGTTGTTTATGTAGTGTTGTGTGAAATATCCATTTTGGATTGTGTTACTTTTTAAGATATTAAATAACATTTGGTTATATGTTTTAAGTGGATTTTTTACACCCATCGGTGGTTTTTAGAGAAAATACTTTCCATTTCAGAGAAAATAATTCCCGTTTAACGCGCTGTTTCTCTCCCTCATTTAGGAAATCTTGCACAACAAATGGGTAATCAGAAAAACAAGGGTCATTACGGCCTGCTGTGCTCATGTGTGCTTCCCCAAAGGGCTGTGAGCCCTTCCAGAATGACAGCGCTAGGGAGAAAAATCTGCAAAATTTGGGAAAAAGAAAAAAAGTTTGCTGTGTACGTGCAGGGTGATGTGTCTTGGGTAAATGCAATCCTCACCAAAGGCACAAGCTCCGAGCTGAGATGCAACCAAGCACAGGGAAACAAAAAGTCCCTGAGCGCATCCTGATGCCCACGCAACAGACTTCAGCTCCCTCTTTTCCTCCTGTCCATCCTCATGGGCCAGAGAAGGACCTGGGCACGTGCCAAAGAGAAAGGGCTGCAGCGAGGAGGTTTTTCCCAGGTCTTGAAATATTTACCCAGATTTTTTCCCCGCACTCTGACAGCAGCTGACTGGAAAGCCCAAGTGGACCATGTAACGTGTGGGTGCTGCTTTCCTGCCTCTGTGCTGCCTGTTGGAAGAAGGTTTCAAAGGGGTTCAGGCTCCAGGGCCTTGCCACCGCACTGGAGTATCTTGTCTTGATACACACCGTGCCCTTTAAACTTTGCTTAGAAACCTGCCTTAAGTTCTCTTTACACATACTCTGCTAGCAGTTAAAATGAAGATCTTAAGCAAGCGACATCTTTTTGGCCCAACTCAGAGTTTTCTGTACATATTACCTTTGTTTCCTTCACTGCCAATGCACAGATCACCAGAACTTAGAGCAGACAGCAGACAGCTTAAATGTGGTCCGTACCTTACTTTAAATGTCTATGCCCACTGCTTCCCTGAAGACCTTTTATCTTTCTGTTGGATTGTGCCTTTCTGCCGGGAGCACTGGCCTCAGAGCAGCAGATTTCCATCCCTCCTCATCTACAAATACCTTGTGAGGTATTTGTGAAGGCTCTCCTCTCCAGGACTGCTCTTTTCCATCAGCCTCTCCGCTGACAGCTTAGGGTCTGTTTTTTCCTACCAGTGTATTTCCTGTGGTGTCCTGCTCTGTCAGCATCCCCACCTCTTCTGCTCCTTCTTGGCATTTCCCCCCTTCAGGTTGTTTTGTTTTCCCCATTCATTGCTTGACAGGAAACGTCCTCTGCCCCTTTTCTCACCTTCCCTGCTTAAAATGTCATCCTAATCCTGTGGGGTCTTTTCCTCACTGTCCCATTCCTTTCTCTTTTTCACTCTCCCCACTCATTTGAATGACCCCGAAGAAGAGGTGCTCAGCACAGGAGCTGCTGTCAGCACTTCCCTTCAAACCGTGCTGTTCCAGCTTGGTGGTTTTCAGAAAAGGCATCAAAACCTGCCCCCACTTTTCATCCCTCCTGTTCTCTCCCTCCTTTTGACTGCTGCTCCTTCTTTAACCCAACATCTCTGTGTTTTGAGGGCTCGAAGACCCCAAACCTGCACCGATGCTAAACCAACAGGTCACATGTGTCTTCCTCAGGGTGCCAGGAGAGGTCCCAGCTAAATGCTTTGGAAAACAATTACAAAAACTACAAAAAATAACACTCCTGCTCACCACCACCGGTGGGTGAAGGGTGAAGGGGTTTGCAGCGGGTTCAAAGATGCGGGGACCTGCACAGCCCCCAGTGGCTTTGTGGTGATGGCTGAGCTTGTGTTTGTGAGCAGCCTCCTCCTGCGCCTTCAGGTCCTTGTCTTTAACCAAGTATTTTTAGCCCCGCTGTCACAGGATAATGTCACAGTGATAAATGAGGATTGGGAACAGGAAATCCCAAGTACATTTTTTTATGTATTTATTTTTTTCTCGTTTCTTGTCCTGATGAGCACGGAAAACCTAACCCTGTGCTGCCAGTTATTTGGAAATGAGTGAGCAGAAATGTTTCTTACCCTCTGGGCACCATCGCAGTCACATGGTGACAGCAGCCTTCCTGTCCACAGGCCTGGCACACGTGGGCTGGGTCCTGCTGGGATGGAGCCAGGAGCACCGGGAGCGCAGAAACCGAGCAGAGGAGCCGAGCCTGCAGGGCGACTATTGGGAGCAGCCTGTGGCAGGGGCTGGGGCCGCTGGCCTCCCTAGACCGAGTGTAGCACTTGGGATGCCCCATCCTTGAACATCTTTCTGGGTCCTTTTAGCTGGGTTTTGGGGAAAAACGCGTCTAAGCGGCTAACTTTACAGGGCGGCTTGTGCATTGCAAGGATTTCAGCGCAAGCCATGTCATACGCACCTGGAATCTGCCCTTGCTGCAGAGCAGTGGTCCTCCCCCACCTGCACCAAGCAGCACACGGGCACCACTGGGCAGAGGCTGCCAGGGGTTGCCATCAAGGCTGCAGACGTGAAGACACAGGAGTGCAAACTTTGGAGCTGGCTGCGCCTCGCTGCTGTGGGCAGTGACCGGACGGGGACAGCAGGGGAGGGCGTTTGCCTTCCTCGCTTGGCAGCTGAATGCTGCCTGCAAGGCAGCCCCTGCCCTGCCTCTGCGGTGAGACTCCTGCTCCCACTGCACGGCTTCTTGCAGCGCATTGCCCAGCTCCTGCTCCTCCTCCTCCTTCTCCTCCTCCTCTGCACAGCAGGCCCCAGCCGGCCAGCCCCAGCATGAGGAGGCCATGCGGGGAACACCTCTGCTGTGTCCAGTTCCCTGCGTGCCTCTGGCTCAGTCCCAAAGTTTTCTTGCCAGCAAAGTCCTATTTAGCAGCCAGCTGCCACGACTCAGCCGGCTGCTGCTGGACACAAGTGGATGATGGTTTTCAGATGCTTGCATGCAGCCGGGCCAGCTGTAACCCTGATCTCAGGCATGGCCCTCAGTGGAACAGCAACATTTATATACATTTATACGTATACATTTAACCTAGGCAGGGCCATGTAACTAGTCCTCTTCTGCTAAAGGCGCACTGAGACAGTTTGCCTGAAAAAGGAAGCTTTTGGTTGAGTCCTCAACTTCAGCTGCACGTACGGTGGCACTGCACAGACGGGGACAACCTTGCCCAGCCCAGCCCTTTATGTCTGTGCGCCCCACGCACAGGCTACACAAAATCTCCAGCCAAACAAAGGGACCGGGGGGAGGAGGCCAGGAGAAGCCACCTGCCTCGTCCTGGGGTGCCGATGACTGTCCCATGTGGTAGGACATTTCAGGGCGTTGTTCCACGGCTCCTTGGTAGGAAACGTGACACAGCAGGCGGTGTGGTGTGCCCCGCTGCCCCGAGGGGAATGGCCGTGTGACAGCAGCCCCACGGGACACCAGCAAAAGGCGGCTGCTTGGGCAAGAGCCAGCTCGAACCGCCCTGCAGGCAGCAAGCCGGGAGCTTTGGGCTTCAGGTCACCGCCTGAAGTGAGAAAAACTGACTCAGAGAATTTAATTTTCAAAAACAGGGAGCACCCGAAAACCTTGTAAAAGCAAGTGTCTGCAGCCCTAACTTCAGGCAACATTCCCTCCCAAGCCTATAAAGCGAACCAGGCACATTTTGTTCTCACCCCTCTCCTTTGCCTTCCTCCTTGCTCGGCCCTGGGGGGCTTCCCCCGCACACGCAGCGCTAGCTTTCCGTCTCCTCTTTCTCACAGACTTCTGAGGAAAGTCATTTTTCCTCTGACTGCGGAGTTTTATTTGTAAGTAGTCTCCAGTGGACCCTGGAGATTTATTATTCACTCATAAGAAGAACCTCAAGGGCCCTCACCGCCTAAGGTAGCTGCTATATTTATTGTTCCTCCTTAAAGGTAGCCCACTCTCCTCTTATGGTTTTATTATCAGCTATAACCCGGTGTGGAGTGACTATTTCTCATGCTCCGATGCTGTACAGCACATAACGCTTTCACCAAATCACAGATTGCAGAGAAATGCTCTAAAATAAAATGAAAACCCCTCTTACTTTTGATGGTAGAAATGAGAAAAAAAAAAAAAAGAAGCAGCAGCAAAGTAAAGCCTTACAGGATGACAAATAGTTTCAAAGAGCTCTTTTGCCATGTTTAAAACATTTGCCTGTAGATGAGTGGACTTCCATTGAGCCAGAAGCTAATAAAAGACTTAATATTGACTGGAAGTATGTTGAGCACATTGCTGATTTTTAGAACTTTTAAGGAAATGTTGTTATATAGTCAAATGCCCAGTGTATATCAAAGTGGAACACAGCATATGTTAGAGTGCAATTTTATTTTAATATATATATATTTTTCTCTTAATATCACTGCATATTTTTAGATTGATTTTATCACTGCACATGTAAAAGCTACATTACCTCTCTGATGTCTCTTGGAGAAGGAATTCTCATTTGGAAGGAAAGATTATGTTGAAGAATTTGAAATATTTGTTAGAAATGACAATAAATCCTATGCATAAGTATATATTCGAGTGCATTTTAGTATATGTTTGCCTTTCTAAAACTGAAGCATGTGGGATGTTGGTGAGGAGGAGCCTGCCCGGTTGCCACCAGCCACCAGGCTACAAAAGAAGACTTCTGGATTTGTTGGTTTACTCTGTAAAAAAAGAAGGAACTGACCTTTGGGCGGTACTTACATGTAGGGTGTGAGTTCCCATGACTTCTACCAGTCTTGCCTCGTGCCCTGGATTAAGCAGAGAGTGGTGCAGCCCTGGCAGGTGTCTCCATGGACGGACCAGCTGCTGCCCAGGCGCCTTCCAGACGGTGGTCTCTGCAGCTGGAGAGGAGGAGGAAGGTGGATGCGCTCCCCCAGGAGGAGATGGAGTCAGAGGAGAGGGCTTAAAGCCTCAGAGATTTCACCAAGACAAAGAGGAAAGCTCAAAGTGAGGAAAGGAATGAGAGGCTGTACTTTAGTAGCAGCGGAGGTTTTTCTGATGTGTTGGGAGCAGGAGTGGGAGAAGAAAGACTTCAGCTGAGGACAGAATTAAAAATCTTTGCCTTACATGGAGGCTGAAGGATCCTGGGCTCCCTCGGGTTTCTGCCACAAGCCAGCTGAGGAGGGGAGTTATGCGCACCTCTCTTCATGACTTATGCAGACCTAGAATAAAGAGCAATCTAAACAGACATTTTCCGAAATGTTTTCTCCGAAAGCTAGGAACCAGCCACAGCCTGCCAAGCCGGCGAGGTACTCACGCTCCTGGCGGCATTCCCCTCTGCAGGGCAGCCTCCTAAAGCAAACACGCTGCGACTGCCTGTCTCAGCCCATCATCGGCCTCCTCCCTCCCCACGTGCACGGGATGCTTCTAGTCATGAAGGTTTTGAATGCCCCCCAAGGCCCTCACATGGGGCTCGCAATAAAACCTTCTCCCGTCTCTCTCTCCGTTCCTGTTGTACGTGCAGTAACTTGCTGTTTGTTCCCTTTTAGGAGCTGCAGAGCGCCTCTGAGCTCACTTTGTGTCCAAAAACATCATCCATCCCCTCTCTCCAGCAGGAGAAGGTACGCGATGCATCCCAGATGTCTGCACGTGGCAGCAGTCTGCAGACGCAGCAGCTTGTTGTTTAGCTCTGTGGTTGCCTCCTTCCTCCCTCCCTCCCTCCCAGGACTTTTGGCAACAACTGCTTTTTGGGGTCCTGGAGTGTTATCTGCACACTGGGGCCCTTCTCGCTGCCTGAGGCTGAGCTGTGGTGGAGGGAGGGTTCCTGGGCTGGGAGGCAACTGCAGCGAGTTCCTTTGTGTGAAAGCTGTGAGGCAGCACAGGGCCTCAGCCCTAGAGAATTTTCTTCCTCATACCAAGAGGCTGAAATGGGTAAAGACCTTACCCCCTGTCCCATGCTGCCAGCAGCTTCAAGTGAAATGTTGTTTTTGCTCGGCTTACTGGAAGGATTGTTATGTGCCGAAGCTTGGCGTTAGTAGGAGCACACATCTCCAGTGCAGTGGACAAGAGGAGAAAAAAAAAATCTATAGTGATGTGTGTAGACAATATATATATATTTTAGGAAAAAGTCCATATAATTCACAGTGGGAAAGAGATTTTTTTATCAACAAATTACTTCAGAAGAATAGACTTTGATGAGGAAAATGGGACCAGTCCCCCAGCCTGCGCTTTGCTACAAGATAATTCCTACAAAATGCTGTTTCAATGACGCCTCCTACCTGCTGTATGTGTGGAGAGTGGCAGTGAAGGGATAAATGTGAGAGAAACGGTCTAGAGAAGAGCAGTGAAAATCACTGTATGATGTTCTTCCACATGGGACGATGAGCTCAGGTGTGCACTGATTCATATTTTGTTTTCATGGCACTATTTATAAACCTGTTGAGGCTTCCTACGTGGTAATCCTAATGGCAAATTACAACTCCTTCATGATTTGACTTTTATCTGAATTGTTGTATGTGTTTGAAATGGGGAAAGTAACCATTTTCTTGAATGGCTCAGAACAGCAAACACTGGAGGCTGTGAGCTAACTGGAAACCATGAGGAGCTGGCTGTGGAACCTGCATGGAGGTCATCTCTTGGATTTGACCAAACTCTCACCAGAGCTGACTCTGGAAAATCCAACTCTCCCCGTTACTGGGCTCCGTGGATGTTTTTGGAGGTATCTGTGCTATCAGCTTCAGATGTGCCTGAACATGCTGTGGTGGAGCCGTGGGGCATATGGGGCAGCACCTCCTGCAGGCTGCGGTGTCCTTCACTGGGGGCTTTGCTCTGAGCCCGTCAAAGGGCACAGGGCAGCTCTCACGGGCATGTAGCTGTCATGGCTTTCCTGGGCCAGCACCCGCCCCATCCCTCACGATGAGGCACTTTATCCGAGGTAGCACAACCCCATTTGGAAATCAGGTGCTGTTTCATTTGCCTCAGCTCCTACACCATTAATTCCTCCATTCTCCTCCTTTGTATTAATATTTTAAGCTGCTCTGTCTGTCACATCTGCACACTTACCAGCTGCTTTCCCATTTTTAATTGCCCTCAGAGGGCTTCTTCCAGAGCCACACCTGCTTTTCTATGGGCCTTAATTTGTCACTGTCCAAACAGGAGAAGAGAGCATTTAAAATTCAGCCTTCATGACTGAGTTGTATTTCTTCAAACCTGTGATTAATTGCTGGGCATTTACAAGCTGTATTCAGCTATTTCTGTATAAGTCTTTATTTTGCTGGGAAGATCCCCACATCACGGGTATTATGTATGTTCTTGTTGGTTGGACTTGCATTTATTCTTCCTGTTTGTTCTTGTATGAAATACAAAGAGAAATCTCAGGGCTCTCTTGGTTTTACTGTTTTTAAAGGGGAAAAAAAAAAAAAAGTTCTTTGTCAGAAATGTCCTTGTAAAAAAAAACATTTGAGATGAGGGCAGGAAGGGACATGCCAGGTCATCCAGTCCAGCCCCCAGAGGGGCAGAGGCAAGCAGCTTGTATAATCCAGCTCATAAACTCATAAACTGCTTCAACTCCACCTTCTTCACCTTGAAAGATATTAAGCTTTTTTTTTTTTTAATGTCCGTCACAGCTGCTGGCGGGAGGCTGCTTTAAAACCTTGATTTTAAGCCCACAAGTAGGCCTCTCCTGAGTCAATTTGTATGGCCACGGCTTACAGGGGCACAATTAACCTGAGCAGAGGAGCACAAAAAGGTATATATGATTTTTACAATTTACAATTTTAAAATACTTTTTTGTATACACTGGTCATTTTAGTCCCGCTGGGTGAACAGGCTCCTGTTTGCACGTACTGAAGAAAGGCTGCAGCCTTTGTGAGTGTCCTGTATCATCTCATCCTCCATTTTTCTGTCTGGCAAGGAAGCGATACTGGTATCTCCAGCTGATTTTGAGGCTTAATTAATATTCATCAAGCTATATATACAAGTGCTGAGTAATGTTTTAATGTATTATTAATTTCTCAAGAACAACAGAAGGCTGCTCAAGAGTTGTCAGTGCCCACTCCTGCAGTCACAGAAAATTGGTCATGTAGGAGATGCTGTGGGCACCCTGATCTAGTGGGAGGTGTCTCTGCCCATGGCAGGGCGCTTGGACTAGATGTTCTTCACAGTTCCCTGCCAACCCAAACCAATGCTTCTGTGATATGCCCACGTGAGGAAGTGAAGCTGGAGACTTGCAGCGGTTTGCTGCAAACTCAATTGTATCTAGCTATTTCTGCATAAAGCAGAACCTTTATTTTGCTGGGAAGCTCCATGCATCATGGATAGCAAATATCTTCACGTTCTTGGGGCTTGCATTTATTTGTTCATTGCCTCCTTTGCTTGGTCAGACCTTTGCAGGAGCATGGCTGGTCACTGAAGTCCCTTTCAGGATCTTCTGCCTCTGCAATGAGGGGTGGAGGAGTGGTGGGCTCCCAGAATATCCAGGGAGGACCCTGCACTTGGGTAGGGACAACCGTGAGGGTCGGTCCTGCAAGATGTGCCAAGACTACAAACAGTGAGGGGAGCAGGAACACAGCGGGTCAAAGCTGGAGCTGATAACATCAGACTCTTAACGATGAGGCCATCAGGAATGTAAAAGAGTTCAGAGGGAACAAAGAAGGGTGATTCAGGAGACTCCATGCAGTCTCCGGTTGCTTGTTCTCCAGCCGTTAAGGCATGGAAGTTTCTGGGTGTTTGCTGTTGTTGTTACATTCAAAGTTGTTTGACCAATGAAAAGTTGTTTTTGAAAAGGACTGCTGTGGGGAGAAGGGTATAAGAGGGGAGCCTGCCCTCAAGATAAAAGAAGGCGACACGATGAAGTTATGTCATCAATAAAGAAGCGGGAAAAAGGAGTGAAGAGGAGCAGGTTGGCAAAACGGAGACCAGGGTGGGAACAGGCACATTGATCGCCTCATGAAGATGGGTTCGGCCAGACTCAGCAAACTGCTCAGAGAAGCTCGTACAGAAAGTCGCTGGAAATGGGCGCACCGGAGCTGGAGAGAAGCTCAAGCTGAGAGAAGAGGACCTGTGCACACAGCTGCCCCTGGCTGGTAAGCAGCTGTGCGTTATGGGGAATCATACGTCCTTAGGAACAAAGGCTGTCCTGGTAACCTTACAGCTTATTCTCCTTATTAACAATTGGACAGTTTATGATCCTGAAACATGGGACCAAACTGATGTCAAGGTGTGGGACTCTGCAACTAAAAATGACAAGGTTGCAGTGGGGTTGCTCAGCACCTGACCTTAAAGAGCCCTGTGGGACCACAGTCAGAAACGTGTGGTTTGCCAGATAGTGAGGGAGCTGCGGGCTCCGTTACTGATCCGACTGCTACGCCATCGGCCCCTCTGCTGCTACAGCCATCGCAGGCCTTTGCTGTTCCGCCCCCTGCTGACCTGGACGTGCCTTTTGACCCAGGCTTTATTGGCCTTGAAAAGGAGATGGAAATGCTTTGCTTCGATCTGGGAAGAACGGGATACATAAGGCCTGAAGACCGAGTTGCTTGAGAACTTAAAGCGAGACATATTGCTCAAAGGGAATGGAAAATGGAGACTGTTACATCATGGAACTTAAAGGACTGTTTGTTACCTTTTCTGATTGTACCTATGTATAGGTGTACTTGGGTTCTGATGTAAAGCAATGTTCTGTATATTTAGACTGTTTGATGTTCGTGTGTGCGTGTTGGTGGAGCGTAGACTCCCCGCACACCCAGCGCTGTTTACTTGCCTTTTATACCTGTTATAAATATTCCTTTTATAAATATGACTAAATTCAGATCGAGTTGAGACTTCATTTATAACAACGGGGGCATATTAGTGCTATCAGTGAGGGAGAAGCCAACTCCGCACCCTTTGGAGGGGCCAACAGAGAAAGCTGCGTGAGGAACGGCTGCGTGCAGGGGCAAGACACAGCGGGGAAACCATTACACCGGAGACATTACAGCATGAAGGATCTCGGCTGGACCGCAGCCTCGGCCCTTGCAGTGCACACAGAACCCCCTCACTGGCCGTGCGGGCACCCCGCGGAGCCCAGCTGGCCCTGAGCGAGCCGCGGTGGGAGGCTCGCTCCGCCCTTCCCTCTCCCCCGGCGGGCCGGAAGGGGGAGCTCCGAGCCCGGTAATGGCGGCAGGGCTGCGAGGGCTCGTGGCCCCATGAGGGGTTGGTTTGGTTTGTGTCTGTAAAAAATGAAGTTTCCAACCCAGCCAGGGAACCAGCAGAAACCGTGGAAAAGGCTGCCTTGCAGCGTGGGTCTCAGGCATGGGCTTTGCACTGGAGGAAGCCTCATTTCAGAGGGACTGAGGCAGCTCTGTTGGCAGCAGGTGGTAATTCTGTGGTGAAATTGTGCTGCACAGGAGAAACCGTGTCACTGATATGGAGTTGACACAGCTGAGATAACATCATGCCACTTCACAAGTCCAGGGTGACTTGCACCTGAGCATCACTGCACTCATTTGATGGCCTTTTCCCAACCCTCTAGCCTCATACAGGGGACTTCTCTGGGTACCAGTTTAAAAGAAAGCAACAGACAGTAGAGGAACACATAAAGGCAAAATAATGAAAACCTTGATAAAAATAAATAAATTAAAAAAAAATATATCATTGGAAACAAAAGTGATCTGGGAAAGGGAAATACAGTATGGACTGAATGACTAGGAGACCACAGTGCACATTAAAAGAACCTCTATTTTTCCACAGGTAAACTTAACAGGGAGTCATATAGTTCAAATCTTATCATATTAACCTATACAGCTTTACACACCTGTACAAAGCCTGGGAATTAAGGTGTCCATTCAACTTTTTAATTCTGAAAAGCTCTTATTTTTGAACACTCAGCAGTTGCCTTCCTTTAATATAAATTTGCTTCTGCACCTACACAAAAGCATGTTTTCATTTAAGGCAAAACTGTCTTTCAAAACAGCTAATAAACTCACGCTAACATGGAAGGTTCAAAGCTTTTCCCTTGATTAGGCCATATTTAATTTTAAAACAGAACCTTTATATTGGCCTGCATCTCTGCCACAGCCTTGCAAGTAAAATGAGCAGAAGGAAGATAATGGAGTTTTGTTCAGCGTCTTTCACTTCAGAGTGCCTAGAGCTCATCCAGCCTGCATCTTCCTGGGGAGGTGTGGAGTTTAACTTCCTACTGATGCCTTGACTTAGCAGTTAGGAGACAAGGAAGAAGGCCAGCACCACAGAATCTCTTAATTCACCCCTCATTTTTTTCCAAATCAACTAGAAACAGAGACTTTTGCAAACCTGGTTCCTGCAGACGGCTCTGTGTGCAACGCCTGGGCCAAGAGCAAAGTGTTTCTCCATGGGCTGCAGCCATATAGGCTGCTAGCCAAGGGAGGCTGGAGAGTTTATCCCCCAAGCCCTGGACGACTGTGCTATTACAGCACTGCCAAGCTCACAGGTGAAAATGGTTGACCTCATTTAGATGGGAAGTTGCCATTGTTGGCACTGGCTTGGGGAGCTGACTGTACCAGCCCCACGCAGGCAGTCACTCATATCCTCCCCTCCTGTTTGTGGGCCATGTGTTCCTGGGACGCAGGGGAGCATCTCTGGCAAGTGATGCTGACATAGTGCTGACAGTTCAAAGACAGTCCTGATGTGAATTAAAGGCGTCATTAGTGTATTAGTATGCCTGCACTGCTTCCCTGGACTTCCCTTTTGCACTGTCCTCCCCTCCCTGCAACCCTGGACAATTAACAATACAAGGAAAACAAGATAAATTCCACCGAGAGCAAAAGCCATAAATCTTGTTGCAGTTCTGCAGTTTGTTGCTGAAGCCCTCTTTTCCTTTGGGTGTCAAAAGTTGTGAATACTGAGGAAGTGGTCTGGTGGGATTACAGATGCACATACTGGGGGAGTGGTGGGTACGCATCCATCAGTTGGGCCAGCACAGCTCTTTCTGCAGAGCAGTTCCCCATGCTGGCCGCAGAAAACTTACCCGAACAGCAGTGTCTGCTGCAGCTGGAAGAGCAGGGCAGACCCTACCCTGCTGGAAGCAGTGCGGGTGGAGTCAGTAGGCCCCATCTTTTATCTTCCTTTCATGAAATTAGTGACTATGCTGGTTGGTCAGGTCTACTTGAGGAGGAAAAGGAGGGAAATGTACCCACGTCTTCGCCCATCAGTGGTGAGCACACAGGTGGCATGGCAGGTGAGGGACCACATCTGGTGAACACATCACGTCATGTTTTACGTCACAACAAGGTGGGCTTGGAGAAGCCTGGAGAGACCATTCAGAGCTCATTCATAGAGGAGCAAAACGGTTTGTCATGTCCACTGAACAGCATGAGTTACACTTCCCTGGACGGATACTCCTGGAGGCCCCAGTTCTTTATGTGCCCCGTGAGAGGAGCAGTGGTGCAAATTTCCACCTTTCTCCACTGCACCCTATGGCCTGCTTGGCTTTGTGTTACCCTGGAGAAGTTATTGAATGTAGAAGACATTTCTGAGCCAATTCGCTGTGAGAGTCAGTCCCTCCTTGGCAATCTGCCCGGCCACCATCGGCCAGCTGGGCAGGGAAGGACAAGGCCAGCTTTGCCTGCTGAGCCTTCTTCGCTAGCTGGACGGACAGAAAAGCACATAAAAGCCCCAAGCAGGCACTGAGCAGGCACCAGCGAGCTGGGTGCTGTAAAAAGATTGTAAAAAGATTGCTCGTGTCCCAGAGACCAAGGAGGGGATGCACACCAAGGAGGCCAGAGGTTGGTTACAAAGCAGGGGCATGCAGCAGGCAAGAAAGCCCTTACTATTATTAATGAAGGTAAATTGCTACAAGAAATAGTGAAAAATGCACCTGTTCAAAAGCTTTAATACTGAAATACATCTGGAAAAAAGCACTGCATATACAAGCTACAGCATCTCATGTGATACATTTCATGTCCCTAATTTACATGCTGACAAGTTTGCCGTTTCTAAACAATGTTATCATTCATCTTGCTGATGATTAATCAGCAGAAGCTTCAAACACCGTCTATCACACATTGATGCAGCAATCAAACAAGAAAGGCAAAGTGTTATGGTTGTTGTTGTTTTCTTGTGTGTGTGTGTGTGTTTTTTTTTTTTTTTTTTTTTTTTTCCCCAAATCTTACAGTATTTACAAAAAGATTCATTTTTTTTTCTAACAGCATTCTTAGATTTATTCACTCATTCACAATCAGTCATGGTACAAAAACATCATTCAGAACCAGTTTTTAAAATACACCCACCTCAGTTGCATAGTACACAGAAAAATAGGCTAGAGTCAAGACACTGATTTTTGACTGAGAATGTGAACTGATTCAGAGGTACAAACTTCCAGAAGAAAGATGTGCTTCTCACACATAACCAACTCTAGTTCCCATGAAGCTAATGAGCTTCTTGTAGGTCTACCATCAAATTTCCCTTTTATATAGTATGTTTTGAGGTGTATTGCCACACACACTGCTTGCATTAAGGTCAAACACCTCACACAATTAGGGATTTTGCTCTGCAGTATTTGCTCCAAGGACAGACACTGCATATGGCCACCATGACAAAAATGAGTTACACAAAGTACGCACAATATCGGCTTCATGTCTTGTGGCCCATCCCTGGAACAACTCAATGGACCTGATTTGTTTGTCTGATTTCTGCTTCTGCCATTGAGCATCAGAACATAGCCCTGTACTTTAAGGATCTGTAGTTCTGAATATTGGCTTCTTTTTACTGTCAGAGTTAAAACTGCAGACTGTGGAGGGATTAGCGTGTCCTGTACATATCCTGTTGATTTCCAAGCAAGAATTTGCAATTTTGTCATTTGGTTATCTTGTGTGCTGATAATTTTCTCACTTTAAAAATGTGCTCCAGCGAATTCATTGAGCCTGGTCCATTAAAGAGCAACAGGGAACTCTGAACAATAGATGCTTGTTTTACAGCTACTGCAAATGCTTAGAAAGCACTAAATTGCCTTTTATACTCAACAGTCTAATAACAAAGACTGATTTTCTCCCCTTTTTTTCCAATTGATTTGATGGTTCACTTGAGCTTTAAAAACACATTACATAAATCTTTATAGCTATTACAGAAGTCTTTTGTCAAGTTTAATGCGTTGTATTTTTATTTTTTTTTTTCATAGGGTAATCATTCACCCTTAAACTCACTGTACCAGAATGGTGCCTGACTCTGGATCCGTACAAATAACACGTCTTAGAAGTTTATTTTGCACGGGGAGGGACCTGAATCCTTCCAAAGGCAGTTTTTCATTGAAAGCTCCTGGCTCAGAGGTATATCAGAAAAAGTGCTGAGCGCTCCTGAAGGCACGGCTGAAGGCTGCAGCCTGCCGTCAGCCTCCCCGGGAGGAAAGGACACTTTGTGGGATCAGACCCTTATGGCTCTGTTCAAGATATGCTTATTTCACAGTAGAAACTTAATGATGCAGAAAGACCACCTCTCTAACGACCCACCACAGCCACAGCTTATATACATTCCCATGTTTAACACCAAGGACTGACAACTGGACAGTTTAACAATTCAGTGCACTTCATCTTCTAAGCTAACAGAGGAGGACTTCAAAGCTGCTGGCTTTGCCTCCAGCCCCCGCCAGCCCTGTGCTGAGCACTGCCCCAGGGCAGATCCACTGGAGTGGATGAGTAAGGGCAAAATCATATTTTTTTTTTTTTCAGGGAATTTACTATGTCTGCTATGTTGATGTTTTCAGGATTATATCATCCGTTTGACTTGACCTTCAGATGCATTACCTCCGAGAGCAGCCCCATGCTCTCCTGCTATATTTAAGTCAACCATTACGACTTTGGGTTTCATATCCCAAGGTGGAAATCTGAGCTAGGCTTAACTGAGAGAGAGGTGGAGAGTGATGCATCTGTGTAAACCTCTCTCCCTGCGGCAGAATACCACCTCTAAAGAAAAACAGCAAGGGAATGTGCTGCCCACCACATTGCTTTAAGGGCAGAGATGCAGAGAGCAGGAGCTGGTAGAAAAGTAGTAGCTGTTGGAAACCTTCAGAAACACATTGGATAAAATAAACTAACAAAAAACAACTAAGCAGGTGATATCATCTTCACCAGGAAAAGCAGAGAGGCTGTTAAATGCCAGGCTTCCTCATTGTACTTGCTCCTGAACCTGGTGTGTCCAGATGCCATTTCAATGTCCTCCAGTTTTTGGTGTGGAGGATTTCCATCAGTCCCCTCCTGCCCCACCCCTCCCTCCAGCTGCGGTCACTTATGAAAGCCCAGCCCCAGGGGCACGCAGTGCCAGGGCTCGCTTTAAGGGAAAACAAAGAAGGAAAGGCTGGGAGAAGTAGGATGCTCTCACTGCTTTCCTGCCGATCCACCTTTCTTGGCACTACAATTGCTCAGCAAAGAGCTTGGCTCTCTGATGAATGGGTTGGTAGGGACTGGGCTTGGCTGGCACTGTAAGGAGAAGTGGAGGTCTGCTGGAGATAAAGGAGTAAGCCAGAAACAGCAAGGTAAATGCACAGAGGTCTGCCTCCACCCCTGAGCTTCTCAGGAGCAGGAACAAGGGCGAGCCTCTCGGTTAAGTGTGCTGGGGTAAGAAGTGCTGGATGTCCAGGGATCTCCACGTGCACCCACCAGAAAAGTTTGCTGTTAGCCAGCCTGAATCCTGCTCCCATCACCAGCTCTGTAACTCTGGAGCAGCGACACCAGCTTTCCTGGCTGTGTTTAAAGCAGCACAAACCTTGTCTTCACGTTACAACTGCTGTAAAAGCAGGACGGGTCGGATTCACGCCTGGCGGAGCACGACGGCTGAGCGGGGGACAGCAGTCTATTAATAAAGCTATTATTCAAATGAAGGACTTAAAAAACAAAACACACAGAAACAAAGAACAAAACACACACATACCAAAAAAAAAAAAAAGAAAAAAAAAAGGAGAAGGATCAAGTTGCTTGTGACAGTGACCAACATTGTTCGGGGATCACAGCGACCAGATCTGCTGGGCGAGGAGCGAGAGCAGAGCCAGGGCGAGCGCGCAGCTGCTCCACTGGTGCAGCGGTGCCAGGGCGGCCGTGTTCCTGAGCATGCACTCCACCCTGTCCCAGGAGCCATTGTTTGGCAGCGGCTGTACTCCTGCAAGGGTGCACATGATGTTGTAGACATCCACGGACCTGATTGGAGGCGCTCGATAGTTGGATCTGAAGTCTGCAGGGAAAGCAGGCGGAGAGAGGGGTTAACGGGCTCGGCCCCTGAAACGCGGGGCAAGGGCTCTGCTGCCACGCCAAGGATTTACCCAGCAGGCTGGGATGCTCAGCGTAATTTGGAGTATAATTTGTAAGGTTATATTTGATAATTATAATCTATACAGTTTGTGGCATGGCTCAGCAAACACATTTTAAATGCTTTCACTCATTATTTTTTCTTCTAATCCAATTTGATTCCCAAACTGAAAACTACAATAAATAAATACACAAATACAGGAGCTACTTTTCTGTGTATACTGGTAGGTTTAAGAGCCTGAAATAATGGTGTTTTGCACTCTTTTTTGCTTTCATTCCTGCCTGTTGCCATAGCCTAGGACTAGGACTAGGACTAACTTAATGGTTAAAGGGTCCAATGAAGGGGGAATGAGGGGCTTCGTGTCTGCCCGCTGGAGGTGGGCGAGGTCTGCTGCAGTTTCAGCCTCCTCAAAGACAGCACTCTGCATTAGTGAGTCCGAATCCATGAACAAAAGGAGAATTCATGTGTTTCAAAAAGAATTAAAATTTAGGCCAGCCTTGGAAAATAGGCCAAAGGGATGGAGTTACTGCTCTGAGACATAGGAGAGGGGCTAACCGAATCGCTTCACCTCTCTCTGCCCTGTTTCTTCCGCTATGAAATAGAGATACAGATGGAAACCTTCACAGTGCCACCTAGGATGAGGAAATCCTGATATCTACTTATAATTTTGGGGTGCAATCTTTGAGTGCCACCCAGTCCTGATGTGCCAGGGGCTGCAGGGATGCTGGGGCAGGGGCCATGGTGCTGCAGGAGGAGTGGGATGCCCCGGGTGCCACGGTGGGTGCCAGGGCCGGGACACCCGGCTGGGGCAGCCCCACTTGTGCCCCTGGTGGGGACGGGGATGGTGGCATCGTACCTGGCCCGTACGCGAGGAAGATGCCTCTCATCTCCATGAGCTCGTTGTCGTAGCCGTGCCAGCCGTTCTGCCAGGCCTCCCTCTTCCCCGTGCCATTCTCCCAGAAGGGCAGCTTGTCCCTGCTCTGGGAAACAACAGCAGGGCACGTTAGTACCATGGCGTGCCACCCTCTGCCACCACGTGCCACCACGTGCTGCACCACCCCACGGGGTTAAAGCAAGGAGGTTCCTTCCAGGGAACTCAGTCTAAGGTGCAACCTTTGCTCTCTTCCTTCCCCTGTCTCTGGCGTGCACAAGTTTTGTCTTCCTGCTTTAAGGAATTCATAAGGAATCATAATTCTTGTTTTTCTTTCTCCATATTACACTCCTAAGCCATACTTTTAATTTCCTTCCTTAGTCTCTGCTGCTGCATATTAATAGCTCCTGACAGACCAGCTGTAACGGTGTCGCTTCCTGCCCCTGGGGAAGAAACGATCCTTGGGGTCCTCTCGAAGTGCCGCACCAACCCACTCCGTGAGTTCAGCTAGTCCCACGGGATGGCAGCCCAGGCGACGCTCCGGATATCCCTAAAACTATAGCAGGAATCTCACTTACCAAGACAAGGAACATCAGTTCACAGTTCGTTAACCCCCTGGTGTTAATTTCTCCGGTGGTCACAGAGCAGGAGCTGCAGTTTCCTAAAGCCAGGCCTGGGCTTCCTGCTCCATCACGAGCACAGAAGATGCCCCGGCAGAGTCTCCTGCATCCCACCCTGGGGCAAATGGTGCCACTACCCCTGCCCGGAGCATTGAGTCATTTCTGAACGTGTTTCCCTCCTCCGCCAGAGAAGGACATTCCCGTGCACAGGAGCACCGAGGATGGCAGTGATTGTGGCTGCAAAGGGCAGCTCTTTCTTCTGGTCTCCACGAGAACCCCTGGAGTATCCCTTGTGTTTCTTCGTGTGTAATAGTCAGCAGATGTAGCAGATAATTGAACAATTTTAGCTGACAAATTAAATCTCTTTCCTTGTCTCCATCTATTTCCCTGACAGCGCTCAGAGCACACCAAGGAGAAAACAGACTCGTTTCCCTCGTCCTACCACAGCACCTCTGTACGTGGTGCCCTGCTTGGTGTGGTTCCAAAACACCTTTCCACATACATCCCCTTTGCCTCTCAAAAAAAAATAATTAGGCAAAGTGTGTTAAAAATAAATGAATCAAACAGCTTATATCTGTCAACTAGCCAACAGAGAGTTAAAACATCCCGCGAGGGTGATAGCAAAGAGCTGAATATCCTCTCTGCAATGGCTTGGGCAGGAAGTATAATAGAAGGCTCAATTATTGCTTAAAAAATATGACAGGAAACTTTCATTTTCACATCCCATTCATGGATAATGAAAACGTACTGAGGATAAGGAAGATCTGACAGAATTAATGAGAGGACATTCTTGAAAATCAGAAACAATGGGAAGGAATGGGCTGAGAGACAGAAATAATTACCATAGCAGCAGTGTTTGCTGCACTGTTATTAAGGTTTGTCAGAGTTTCAATGATTTTTTAAAGAGCATTTTTTACAGGATATGTAAAAATGTTCTGTGTTGAATTTCATACTGTACAAAAGAATTTACTTATAGTTTAAAAAAAAAAAATCAGCAAAAGTGTTTCCAATGCTTACTTTACTAGTCTGAACCTTAACTGTGGCTTTTTAATATGTATTCTAACCAGAGGTGTGGTGCTCATCCATCTATACCCCAAAACAACTGGGCTTTTTAGATATGTATTTTTATTTAACTGTGGAAATCCCTGTCCTAAAGTCAGGTTAGTTAGCAAGAAATGTGGCAGTGTGGACCATCCTGAGCAAAGCCAGGTGAACAACACCTCTGAGGGTGGTGCAGGAAGATGCTCAGCTGAGTTGCCATGAACTGCAAGGCAATATGGCCTAATGACCATGCTGGGATGTTAACAGATAAAGAACAGGACTCCTTGGCTCTGTCACCGTGTTACTGACAACGTAACCTCTGAGCTGTGCTGGGATGCGATTGATGTCTGCAGTGTGGAGATGGTCAGCAGAGATACAAGTACAAAATAATGATGATGACAATAATAATGATAAGGTGTAATAATACGTTGGTATGCAAATCTCTTAATATGCAAGTCTGATTGTCTGCCTAACAGGCTCTCAGAATTGCCATGTGTGCACTGGGTATCTCTGAGGAGTGAACCCACAACCTGACTCTCTTTGTGGCTGGAAGACCTGGGAGAAAAGGGGTGTTTTTAGAATAGAGTCTGGTGGGTGGGAAGCCAGGCAGAAAGAAAAGTAGTAAAGTACCACTGAATGGAGGGACAGTAAGATCTTGAAATGGGAGCAATCATTTCACATGTGTCAAGAGCAGAACTGAGAGAGGATGGTAAATTGGCGGGGGAAGAGGAGTAAATCAACACGACCATAATGGACAATACAAAATGTCCTTTTTAAGGAACCATCATATATTCTTAACTTTGTCTAGCATCAGCATAGGTGTCGTGTCTTTAGGATCTTTCAAGCACACAATATTTGATGTGAGCACTGCAGTCAGCACAAGTAAATGATGTAATATTTTGACTCAATGTCCATCACAGAATTATACGTTCTTCTTCCTGGGTTCATGCATTGCACTTTTTCACATTAATTTCTTTTGCTTCTGTACTTACCTCTGCTATGAACCATCCCTTCTCAGCAACAAGAGTTAGAGGAGAAACGAATTTTCCTTTTTTGTAGAAAAATCTCTCTGGAATATCCTGTATGTTATAAACATCCATGTGCTCCACGACTTTCAATTTTTGATATATCTGCAAAGAAAACAAATGTTAGGACACCATATGGCTATAAAGAGCATATACACACCTATGGGTCTGTAGATACACATGAGTTTTTTAAATGTCTAATCCCCAGTTCATTTAATTTGGGACATTGCTAGTCCTAAAGTGATGGCTATGCAAAATCTCCTTATAAGTTTTTGGAGGTTCTGAAAAGTTGGGCCATAAGCAGATAGAAAACCTTAGACATTATACACACTTACAATACATGCATTCACAAATGTATGCATGTGAGTATATAGACATACAGACACGGACTGGTGAAAGCCAAACTAAAGGAGACCATAAGCTAAGTGGTGAAAAGAAGGGTGCTCAAAGGCATGAAGTGGACAGATGAGGAAAAGGGATATTCTCTTCTTCCCTCCGTGTGCTTGAGTGAACAATTAATACCACCTTGCCTTGGTTTCTTATACTTAACCTCTCTATCCCTATCAAAGGGATTGGTAGTGCTTACTTATCTGCTTTACAAGGATGCTGGGAGATTAATCAGTCAATGCCTGCAGCTTTGAAGGTGCACAATGCTGTGCTGGTGGCCTATTAATATTAATCATACCATCTGGAATACAATTACACAAATGTGGTTAAAGCCACAGTTATTCAGGAAAATATTTAAAATGCCTAAAGAAGATGTTCATGTGCCATAACGAAGGCCGCTATTGGAGTCCCCAGAGCTTAAAACACTTTTTGCTTATATACAAATAATCTTCAGGAAGAAAGAGCTCTTCAAAGACTGCAACAAGAATGAAAGGTTCTTCATTAGCCTTTTAGTGAAGTCTGCCCTGCATATGTGATGCATTTGTACACATGCAATCTGCATTGTCTAGCTGGGGTGCTTCATGCATGCATCTATCCAACACTGAAACTCCCCACCCTGTCTGTGGTCACCAGAAGGAAGGAGTAAGGGTGGGATGGCAGGACTCAGCCCAACCCTCCCACTAGTGCGTGGTCATTGTGTTTCATCAGTACTTCTGGTGCTTCAAAGTGGCATAACTCTTAAATCTGATACCGCTAAGTTCTGATACGATCTAATTCCTGAACGGGGCTTTCCAAAGTGAATTAGAATAGTGGAATCTGGCTCGTGGGAAAAAGAAAAATTAATTTTACTTAAAGTAGCAGCACTCCAGTAAGAAGTCCTAAAAAGAAATGAAGGCAGAAAATAAAACCATGATGTGAGACATTGCATTTTATTCTCCTTGGGGATATTAGGCTGGTTAACAAAAGAGAAGCATGTGCTTAAGGGCTTTGTCAGAAAAAAGCAAAACAAAACATGTCAGTGTGAAGTGGCAATTTATACTTGTCCTTGTTCGATGGCCTTGCCTACAAAACTAGAGATCGATGAGTTAAGGCTGAGGAGGACATATATAAACTCTGTAATACCCTGCAGGAACTTTGAGGGATAGACTTACACGTGCCTCTAAGACAACTGTCAGTCCTGGCACTAATTTAAAATGTTTGCGATATCCCAGCTGTACAATTACTAGAGAGCCTTTTTGAGTGCAATTGGCAAGTGTTCTCTTCAAAGAATCATATGTCCTATGATGTACTGGAATTAGCTAAAATATAATATAGAAAAAAAAAATCACCTGGAGTGTGGACTGCCTGTTTTGTACATCCACTCATCTCTATTTTGAGGACAGCAAAAAAGACTTCTCAAGCACTGGTTTCTAGTTCAACTATAATTCACTAGTGTATTAGTTACAGATGCTGCATTTTCATTCTTTTCAAGTGGTTTCCATATTTCTTTCTGTATTGTTTTAATTTGCTCCTCAAAATCCTACAGTTCTAGCCTTGGGCTTTTATAAGGGATTTAACCCAACATGCTTATTCATCACAATTCTTCAAAGGAGAATGTTGTAAAAATGGGCTTTTTTGGTAATTCTGGTCTAATTGAGTTAATTCCTCAAACTCTGTAGAAGCTTACTGGAACAAGAATGCCTGACCTCTTCCAGATCATTTAAAAATCTCAGCTAATGAGTCAATAAATTAACTAATATATATAACATTTCAAAAAAGGATTTTGAGTGAAAATCTTCTAGCTATTTATCAAAAGCACATAGTGGTGGGGGTTGAAAGCATGTATCTGTGCCAAATAATAGTGAAGGATTATGCTTTTGAGTTGACCAGTGTGAATTCTCTTCAGTGATGCGATCAAAGTGTGGCTCCTGAGACGAACCTCAGGCTGATTTCTGCACACATCTCTGAGAACAGAATTTAGACATTATGACCAAACAAAAGAAACAACTGTCATAAAACCCAAGAAAACATGAAACAAATCAATACTGATAAGCTGTACTTACCTCTGTGTGCTTCTCTGGAACTGGCCAAAGGCTGACAACAGGACCACGGTCCTTCATTTGAATGGTGTCGCTCATATTGATGTAGTTCTTCAGCTCAATCACTTTGTCCGTCCACGAGATGTCTGTCATCCCGTGGTCGGAGAAGAGGAGGACGTTGACATCATTCTGAAGGCCCTTGCTCTGTGGAGTGAGTGGCAAATTTTAAGCCCTATTTGACCTCCTCTGATTTTAGTGGAAGGCCACCAGAAGTAGCGTGGCTGCAAATATCCTGCAGTGAGCTCGGCCACCACTTGTAACAACAGCTGTCCTGGGAGAGTCTAAGGTTAGCACCAAGGAGAGATTTGGCAAAATAGACCCAGTTCCCCACTAAGTAAGCAGATGATACATCCCAGCCCCACAAACTGGTTGTACCACTTGGTCTTGGGCAGGATTTTATCCAACTGTTTGTTATCTGTAGGTCAAAATGGTTGTGGAAGAGCAACTTTGTCACAGTACCACCTGTGGCAAAGGCCTTCCCTCTTTCCCTCCCAAACACAGCCACTTGGCATTACAGCTCTTATGATTTAGTGAAGATAGAAATATATTTTCCTGCTGAAGCACACAGAAAACTCTAATGTGTACTTATCCTTGTGAAAAGAGAGCAGAAATATTCACAGAATTGACATTTACCCGAAGGCTTGATATCGTCTCTTTCTCACCGCAAAATTGTTTGCATAGCGTTTTTTAAAACAAAGTTTCACCTACAGAGTTCTGAGTGGTACTATAAAAACTACCATAAAAGTTAATTGCCTGATTCCACAAACCTTACAAAACAAGTAGTTTTGATTCATTCGCCTGCCATAAATTCCAGCCAGCAACACAAGTTATAAGCAGAGCAACACATATATTGGTTTATGGCTTCCTGGGGCTATTGGGGTAATAATCCACTAGGAGGATTATAACGCCATCTCCGAGAATAAGAATCAGGGGAATGGTGTCTTAACTTTCACGTGATATCAATAGCCTCTCTTTCTGAGGAAATAAAAATTTACAGCCAATGCATCCAATTAACAGGCACTAAATAGGCTCTTCATAGTGCCACAAAAAGCAGTTTTTTAGAACTTTTCAAACGCTGTGTTATGGTCTCAATTAATTACCATTTTTGAAAAGGTCTCTCTAAAAACTGTTGTAATGGCAAAGTTACTGGCACTAGGGGAAGAGACACACGTCGTTTGGGGGTTCTGAGATGACAGGCGCATGGTGAACAGCAGATGCTGGTACTTTGATCATGACAGAACAGGTAGAGAGGATTGTAGCATATGGAAAACCAAAATCATAGAATCATGAAGGTTGGAAAAGCATTCGAAGTCCAACTGTCCCCCTACCACCAATATTACCCACTAAACCATGTCGCTAAGTACCACATCCAACCCAGCACCCAGGAGCTCGGTTTTCTGACATCACTGACCTTGATCTGGGTGATCATGTTGCTCAAGGCTTTGTCCACCTCCTTCAAGGCACTCTTCCGCTGCTCGGACGAGGGGCCGTAGTGGTGGCCTTCCACGTCGATGCGCTCGTAGTACACCGCGGCCATTTCGGCACTGCCGTTGCTGGAGGTTGGAGGGAAGGGAGAAAGAGGGGGAGAGGCTGAGGTACATGGGCCTAGGAGCCCTGATGTACAGGCCTAGGAGCCTTCCCCTCCCGGCTGGTGGAGTTACCAGTGCACTCTTCACTAGGACTTAGAGCACAAAAAAACCAGAGGAACATTGTCTGCTTCCAGCCTCTGCTTTTCTACCTGCTGCTGATGACTGGGCTTCTTATTCCCACCCACACACATTGGAGGTGCCAGGTAGAGACTGTCATGTGTGAACACAGGCTGACCTGGGAGCCCTCTGCTACGTCTTCAACTTAGGAAGATGGCTCTTCATTTAATGACAGAGAAAGAGCCAGAAGAAATACTGAGTTCTTCTTCCACAGGTCAATCCCCTTATTAAAAGGGTTGTGGGAGTTACAAGTTAAAATCTGGTTTAATTAAGGTTTGGCACTTTTGGCTTTCTCCTGTGTGAAGCCTTCCAAACTACCCAGGTCAACTCAGGACAGGCTCTTCCATAACCCTGCAGAAACCCGTGTGCTATGAATTGGGATGAGATTTTAGATGGGGTTTTTATTTCATCTGACCAATGAACAGAGGAAAAACGGGGTAATCTGAACAAGGTTAGTTGGTCACACATTTCTGCACTGAATGTCCTCAGCCCAATTAGTAAGGGTAGCACATACATCAGTGCTTAATTACATTTTCATGACCACCGTACAATTCACTGTAAACCTTCCTGAGAGCAGTCGTGTGGATAAAATCACAAATTCATGCTCATGAAGTTCAAACAGTCTTTTTCTACTGTACTTAATATGTGCTAGGGTGTGCCATCCATAAGATATGCCCTGATTCAGATCAAGATCCCTACAAAAAGATGTTTGTGTGGTGTTCTGACAGGTCTGGCTTCTCTTACTAAAGGCTTGCCAGTAGTCTGGGGTAAGGAGCGAGACAGAAGACAAGAATCAGAGGTGAGGAACTGGTGGAATGAAATTAGGACCTATCATTTTACTTGTGAGCTTGCTAAAGGCCTCTAAAGAGGCATCCTGTAGGCAGCTGAATGTCTCTGCCTTGGGAATTTCTCCACCAGTCACCGCAGAGCAGTGCTCCTTCTCACTCCGCAGGATTTTAAAACCATTCAAGTGAAGCAGCCTTTCCCTTCCCCTTCATTTCATTTTAATTGTTACTTTCCATCTATATTAGGGACAAATTAGTTTCTGAAATTTAACCCTGTAACTTCTGTGCTGCATAAACTCTCACTGAACCTATTGAAGCAGTTTTCTTCTGCTGCAGTGCCTGTTATTTCTCTGCTTAGACCGCTTTGTGTCTTCTCACCTGTAACTAGAAGATCATTTGATCCAGATAAAAATATTCATAATCATCATGCCTTTTTCCTCTTCCTCACCCTGCTGCAGGCAGGGAGCTCAGTTCAGAGGAAAGGGAGCCAGGCAGAAATTCAAGAGGGGATGCTGTGCAAATGGAAGTGGTTCAGGGACTGAGCCTCCCACAGCTCCAGCACGATTTGTGGGGTTTGGGCTCTTCGGAAGGCTGTAGCTGAAGTTTACTGCAGACATGATGGTAACATGGATTTGCTCTCTTCCTGAAATTTCCAGCTTTCACTTCTTGTGAGCTGCCCTATTGACTTTCGTGTATCCCTGCCCTTTTCACTGAAGGCCGCAGCAAGCAGCCTTGTGACTCCTGGTGAATTAGCTATTGAAACTTTTTCAATGGACTCCAGCTACCCAAAAGAGCAGCTTGAAGGGCTGGAGCTTTTAGTAGTTCGTGCTTTGCTTTTAATCGTGTTCACAGTTACAAAGCTGCAACCCTTCCTGAGCAGCCTTACGCATCTTCCTTCACAGAGACCCAGGCAGGAAGCTTCAGGCATATCCTGACCCATCCCCAGATGATACTCAACCAAAAATCTTTCTGTGGTAATTCTGTGTTTCTGCCAGAAATCAGGTCTGGTTTCTGTATTCAGTTTCCCATTCCCTTCTTTATTCACTGAATTACAACTTTTGCAGAAGTTCCACAAAAGCTTCCTATGGCACATGCCATATGAGCATATGAGCTCCTCATGTCACATGCAGATAACCTTAAAATGTAAGCTAAATCATTTCAGGATCAAACATCTCACACGAGACAGCTTCTCTCAAAGCCCCATGCTGTAGACGACACTGTGATTTGTGAGCATCTGTGCAGCAGGACCCGGAGTGCAACTGGGAGCCATGTCCCCAACAGCTCCATCATCATTTTGGAGACAAGCAACACTCAGCATCCGAATACAAGACTTTTCGGATTAAACTGGATAAATGATGGAACCAAAAAGGTTTAAAAAGAGGAAGCTGATTTATAGCAAAGATAAGGCATAGGCTATGCATGTGGTGGTGTAGTTTCAACAAACCTAATCTTCCCCGATTTTACAAGCTATGAGGAACTCTCCGTTTGTTAGTGTTTGGAGGAGAGATGGTGCAGCTGGAAAGCTGGATACAGAGCACGCTGTTTTTCTAGGAGACATCAGAGAAATATATTCCCATAATACTCATATTTACACAGAATTAAAGCCTGCTCCAAAAGCACTGTACCTAAGATGTTCTACAATGCAGAAGGAGCCAAAACATTGGTCTTGTAAACAGGGGGCTGGAGTTGAATTTCCAAATTTCCTAATTCCTAAGAGCACTCTCTGAATCTCAGCATTTCAAAGTCTGCTATTGCAGGTCAGTGAAAAGATTCTCACAGCTTGATATTGAAGTTTTTTGAAACAGCAAGGAAAAAAAAACAAAACAAAACAGAAAGCTGGGATGTCTCCTCTGTGTTGTGATCTACACATGAAAAAAGGAACACAAATTTCCCTCTAATCTTAATATAACTGCCTGTTCCTCTATACGAGCGTGTTTCTTTGACAGTATTATGAACCAGTTTTGGACCCCATCATCCTGTGTGGGAGCCAATCCTGAAAACTGTCCTACAGCAAGGCTGATAGTAAAACCAAATATTTACCCTTGGGGAAGGAAATACCACACTGCCGAGTTTTAATGACGTACCGGAAAGACTCGAGAGCGTCACTGATAGCATCTGCAAAGTTTTTGTCTGTTGGGACACTGAAGTATTCGCGGCAATAGCTTGGTCTGACTCCGAGGATTTCGACCTCACAACCTACAAATGAAAAATGTGCTAAGTTTTGCACTTTCATTACAGACCCCACGGTGTGGGGTCCAAGTTCACAGTAAATTCCCTGTGACATGACTTACCTTACACCTTCCATGCTGGAAACTTTGTGGTTGGGAATGGGAAAGGGGAGAGGGGTATTTTGGATGAGTGCTTTTAGCAAAGTGAACATTGGATCCTTTTATTTCCCTCTTTAAAAGGAGGTCTGTGTGTGACCTTCCCAGGACAAAGCTCCGACGGCCTCATGGCAGACCCTTTCCACCTAAATCACTTGGCTGTTTTGATCTTAACTACTGCGGCCACGTATCCTCACTCCCAGACTTCCAACATAATAGATTTAGATATTGTTCCCTCAAAGTTCAGCAAATACTTTCCACTTAGACACACTGTATCTTACATCATAATATCCTCTATAAACTGTATTTTATTATGTGATTCTGGCACTCCACTATTAAATCTGTTTCCCAGGAGGTCTTGTTAAAACAGTATAAACCAATTACCTCTCTTGGTAACTTGCAGCCTTCCTTGCAAAATACAGTCCAGAAATTTGTGGCAACAAATCCTACAGGAGAACATGGCCCTGAACACACAAAACTTGTTTTTGTGGTTTTCTGCCCTTTTGCTCTCTGGTTACTGTGTGCTGCTGAATAGCATTAATATTTAAAAGAACAGTGCTTTCACAAACACTGGATTCATGCGAATTATCTTTAGAGAACCCCAGAGTCCTCCCATCACAGCTATGCATTTTCTGTTGTGTTGCTGGGGCACAAGGAGAAAAAGAGATCTTTTGGAAAATGGACTCTATACAGCAATACAGTCAGGTCAAAAAGGCAACTCTAAGCAGTACCCTGAATCTGCCTAGATTTGGGTCATTTTGCCTCTCCTTTGGGCTGGAAGAGAGAGGCATTATGGCCCGTCAGAAGTTGACATAGCTTGAGAGGAATTAGGGTTGCATGGGAGGTGTAAGTCCAGAGGGGGCACTAGGGCAAGCAGAGCTACTTTCAGAGGTGTTTTGCAGTGGTTTAATCACTGGGACGCTCAGTAAAGAGAATTTGCCTGTGTCATGCATTTCAGCCCGTGTGAGCTCATACTGCTGAGATGCAATACTGGGATACAGGGAAAAGCAAACGTCTTGCAAAATAAGCTGACCAAGAGACTTGGCATTGCAGCGGGAATTGCAATAGGCAATTACAAATAATGCAGTATTGCAACAGATGAAATATCATGAAATACCATGCTTTTGGCTTTGTCCAATTTAGGATACCACGTATCTCCTATTTGTTCTTTCTATTTAGGCCAAGATTTGCTGAAAATAGGCCTTCAGTGACTGCACAGCCTACTTTTGGGAATCTGATGCTTATGAATACTGCCAAAGCAGCTGACAAGCTTGAAGATAGACACCCAATTTACATGCTGAAATGACACCCATTTCTAAAGGAGTTAACTCTAGCCCAGTTTCTTCTGCTGCAGTGGCCATTACAACCTTTCACCATATAAATTCTCACATCTTCAGCTCTGGCTGAGCACATGCCTATTAGCAGGTCCATGCAATGTGGTCTCACGACCCATATGACATCTGCCTGGCTGGGATTTTGGTCAATGAAATTCCTGTAATCGGTAGCATAAGACACAGTTGCTTAAATGCACTCGTGTGCTTGATGTCCTGGGTGCTACCAGCAGCAAAACTTGAGTTTTTAGGCATCTTCAAGGCTGGAGACAACACAGCACTCCTCTGTGGGTTTAAATGGTATTTCAGGACAAAACTGGAACTTCACGGCCAAATCGTCCTCTGACACTTGAGTCTGGGAAAAGACTGGCTCCAAAGCCATCTTTTGGTAAGGACGCATTTGGAAACACAAGGCCAGTCATGACTAAATTGAGAAATGACGCCTAGCAGTTTAGTTTGGGTGGATGACTGCTCATAACCAATGACTAATATAATGACTTTGCCTCTTTTTTCTCTTCAGATGCTGACATCAGATTACAATTTTCTCAGATATTCCTCAGAATTACTCACAAAATAATTTTCATTAGCAGCATCAACCTCTTGGGGATCTGAAATATTTTTGATATCTCTATCTTTGCTATTTCTAGATTGTCAAGGGATAAGCATGAAATAAAAGACTACAAAAGCAGCAACAATTAGAAACAGTTTTTGGCCACTAAGCATTGGTCTTCAAACATGCAGTTCATTGACAGCAACATTGAAAATTCAGCTTGCCTAAATTAGACATCAAGAACTTGCATGTTGTTTTTTGTTTGTTTGTTTTTGTTGTTGTTTTGGATTTTTTTGTTGTTTGTTTTTTGTTTCTCTGTGTGTTGTTTTCTTTCTTTCTTTCTTTGTTTCTCCCTGTAGTGAGCAGGACTTAAGATTGGATTTTCAATGTTCAGGCTTGTTAAAATTCCAAAATACCGGCCTTGAAGACCCTGTAGTAAATTATATTTTGTGCTGGTGAAGGCCAGGACAGCTGGTAAATTTTCTCATTTAAATATAATGGGAAAGGATATTTGAAAGGATTTGGAGCCAGACAAAGGGAATGTTAATTTTTTTTTTGTGGTACAAATAGATGAGCTGTGTTGCTGAGATTTAATGTTAAATACCTTTCTGCACAGTTTTATATGACACTAAACCTTTATTTAAAAACCGTAACTTCTGGAGCTGGAATAAGGAGTTCTTTCGCAGTGATATATAGCTTCTTCTTTATCTATCTGACATGGAGACTTGAACCTCTGCCAGCTTTAAATTGCATTTCTAAACATTGATTTAACAATTGGACACTCCATGTCATAACAAAAAGGTCTGAAAACTTTCCAGACTAGCTCCATGGTCTGGAAAATGTTGTGTTTAAATGGCAAAAGGTTGGGTTTGGAGGCTTTTTTCCCTTTTCTCTCATTTCAGTATTTAGAAAAGATGTCACTGCACTTCAGCTGAAGCTGTTGCATATGCTGCTGAAAAATGAGACCATTTGAGGGTATGGGGTTACATCACCCTCCAGGCTGAGCGCTCTAAAGCTTTGACTTTTGTGGTACCACCAGGAGGCTCTTGCACTCCTCTGGGGCTTCACCATCTGCTGGGGTGGCAATGCTTCCGACAGGAGACCTGGATGTGAGACCAGGCGTTGCACCTCCGATATGGCATTAGCTATTGTGCTTTACAAAGCAATCAAATATTCAGAGGATATATAACTTTTCCCCCAGGAATGCCTTGAAAGCAGAAAATACCAGATAAACCCACTGTGTTCATCTCTGAAGTGAGACCGTGCTGCCATGAATAAGGCAGGAAAATGCCCCTGCAAGCCAAGTGCTTACCACGAGAGCTCTCAGCACAAGCAGTGGCTGGGACACCCAGCACGGTGGTAATTTTTTCTCCTCCGCTCCTGGGGCTAGGACGGCCCAGCTGAATTCTGCCCACACATGGGCTTTGCTGTGTCTGTGCTGGGATCATAGATACAGCTGTGATGGCAGGGTATTTACACCCAGCGCCCCTTCTGCTTTGTGTCCCTCTGCGCTGGGGCTTAGATTTTCTAGATTTTGTGCTGGGGATCACTTTCCCAGTCAAATGCCTTTTTAAGAATTAAAGCTTTAAAGTAATAAATCTAGAATTTTTAGAAGGGATTCCGTGCTTACTATGGAATTAGAAAATGCCTCAAAAATCCTATGAGGAAATTTTAATAAATAAATACTACTGCATTTTGTCTTCTGTGCACTTCTGTGTACTCCTGTTACATCTGGACCCCACTGCTCAAAAGGTAACAGGTAGGAGCTTGGTAAACTCTAAGGGCATTTAACAGAGAGGGATCCTGCTCTTTTGGTTTTGGTAGCCTTCTGTAGACTGTTACACCTACTCAGTACATAATTATATCTACTCAGTGCAGTTATTTCAATAGTTAAAAATGTCTGTAGTCTGTAGAAACAGGTCTTCTCATAAATTTTTAGAAGAACATTCTTTTATAATTTCTATTTCCGACTATTTGCATTGCTGTTAAGTCACTTGGATAACCCAATAAAATTAAGTTTTTTGTTTTTTTTTGTGGGGTATTTCAAAATACTATATCTAGTCTGCACCTGCAGTTCAGTATTGTAAGGCAATATTGCCACCCTTAGATCTTCTTGCTTGTCACCACTGTAGAAATGCTCTAGCTTTTCAATCTTTTCCATCTTGGTTTGCTCTTCCTTCCCTTTCCTGAGAACTGTGGCTTTTCTCCTGGGACACCATCAGCTGCGTTGCATGGGGAGAGCGTGACCAGGCACCCGTGCGTTGGTATGAAGGAGACAGGCTGGCTGGGAGCCCACGGAGTGACTCAGCTCTCGTTGCCCTGCTCTGTCTCTGGTTGTATTCAGTACAGCTCTTCTAACATATGGTCCTCCAGTCTGCAGTTGCACAAGTCAACATTTGCCTACTGCTTAAGTTGCATTGTTAGAAGGTCAAGAAGCAAAGAAGGTGGATAACCTGCATGGGGCTTGGTCTGGCTGCACAGCTGGAACATTTATTTCCACATGGTTCCCTCAGTGGACAACCTAAGGATATACTCATATTTTTAAAAAGACTCATTATGTTATACCCCTAGGGATTTCGGTGCTCCAATACCCAACCAAGCAGGAATGGCAAGGCCAAGTGCCTCGCTTGAGATGAATGGCTCAAACCTAGAGCAGCTGTGACCTCTGGTGAGTTAATGATGAAGGAAAACAACAGTGCTCACTGCAGGTCACCAAAAGATGTATAGCTTTCAGCTGGATTTTGTTGCCCCACAATTAAAATAGATTGCTTTCATTTCCCAGCTTTCCTGGTTAAAAACAAACAAACACTGGGGGAGGATGATTATTATTTGACTTTGATCAGCGATATAGTCTACTGCATTGCTCTGTGAACCCTTTGGCACAGCAGAGGCTAGAGGTAGGCAGGAGGAAGGAGCAGTCAGTGGAGGAGGAGATGCTCCACAAGCCAACACTGTCCCTGAAGGTAATGTCTGGTGGAACATTACTCCCAGTGACACTTGAGTGTTTTCCTTCCTCAGCATATGCAAACTGCCATGCCCTATGAAAAGAGAATTCATTTCCTTAAGTGATTTGTAATATACTTGTAATTCTTGTCTGTATTTCAGAACTGTAGTGTGTGAAAAAGGCATCCTCTGGAGTATGGGGTGCTTAGACGTAAAGATGCACCATTGATAGGTAGTAATTTTTGTCATACTGACCTGGCCAGTAGTACATGAAAACGTTCTTTTTTTCTTTCGTCATTGTGACCCACAAAGGCTCCGATCCATTCCACCAGAGAGGCAGCAGGCTTTCTTTGTTCACGCCAATATCGAAAGATACATTTGTCTTTGGGTCCCACATGTAGTTTCCAATCATCTGATGGACCTCACAGTGGCGACCTGCAGGGAGAGAGAAAAAAAAAAAAAAAAGAGCACGATCTGATTTGTGTTCTCCAGCAGAAGGATGCCACCAGCAACACCAGTGCTACCACTTGCTTAAGAGCACTGAGCAAATCAGCTGAAAAGATGTGAATTGAACTGAGGAACCCCTTACAGTGCAACTAATATGGTTTTCTTGACTCGGCTACCTTTCACTGAGGTCCTCTAGGTAGCAGTCCATGTTCCCCAGATTGGCCACCTAAAAGCTAGTTTCAGAAGCTGCGCTCCCTTCCCAGCCGATAAAGACACACCTCCTGAAAGCAATTCTTGCCATCCCACGACAGGCATCTAAGGTATCCAGGAGGAGTTCTTCTCTGGAGGAGCATATTGCTCTCTATTAACTGCACAGAGAGATTGGGTAGTTAGCTCAGCCTGAGACAGACAATTTTCAGAGGCCTGAAGCCAGAAGAGACGGATCTGACGGATCCGTGGCCCACACAACACGCTGTGCACAGTCCACATGAACAGGATGCCGTGGTGCCACACCAACAGGCTGCCGTGGTGCCACACGCATGGCTGGTGTCTGGCTCCTTCTCCGCTTGCAATGTCTGCCAAATCCGAGGCTATTTTTAAGGCAGCCGCCCACGCTCAGCCCCTGAGGGCTGCGGGAAGCAGTCTGCAAACAGGAAGGGATAAAAGCACAGTCTGGAAACACAGAATGGATTTTGGGAAACTTGCATTTCCCCTCTCCTTCACCTAACACTTAGCGCACACTGCGAAGTGCAGACACAAAAAAAAAAAAAAAAAAAAAAAAAATGTAGCAGCACTCAGAACAGGGTCAAAATAATAAAAAGCAAGGCCACAGGCCTTCAAGCAGCCTAAAAGCTCAGCAGCTTGCAGGGCATAGCTGGGTTAAGCTGCCCTCTCCATCCTTTGCCAGGCCCTGTGCTCCTGGCATGTTCCTTAGGTACAAGCCACAGGCACGCAGGATATTGGGCCAGAAGGTCCAAAGGTGTGACCAGGCTGAGGCTTTCCCTAACTATCTGGTGGAAGGATTCCTCTCTCCTCTTTGAAAAAAAATTAATGGGCCACACTGTTTTTCCACATACAAGCTAGAGAGATGTTTTGTTGTCATTGGCAGAAGAGAAGATATAGTATTTCAAGAGTTAACCTGCAGTTGAGTTAATAAAAATGGGAAAAGAAACGTTGCAGATTAAGTTGTACTGGAAGTTCACGATTTCCTCGTCTTAAAAAGTAGCGGCTGATGTATGTGTGAGACACTGTCATCGTTACCCAGTGAGTCATGATATTGCAGGCATCCGGATAACAGACTTTGATTACTGTGAGAACAAGTGTGGTGAGCAGAACTGAAATAACCTCAGGATGCTTGTTTTAAAAAGGCTTCATTTTGAGCAGAGGACTCCATATATTTTGTGTACATGTGACCTTGACAAGGATTTTGAAAATCTCCTTCCCTACTATGAAGTATTTCAATTATGCAGAACATTTCCTCCTCCTCAGAGGAGCAGTCCCGGTTTGTAGCAGTTGCTATACGCCATATTAAAACAAACAGGCTTAATTTAAGAAAACTGGTGGACTGGAGGGGAAGTAATCTGTCCTCCTTAGTCTGCCAAGAGCTTTCTTCATTATAAGTCTAAAAAGAGCTAGTAGGAGGCCTCTGTAGTGCATCAAAAATGCAACCTTCCTACTTAGATGACAACCCTGTCTCTTCAGGTCCTTGAAATCCGTGTACTCCCGAACATACATCAACCTGCTAAACCGCAGGGCAGGCAACTACTGCCAGCCTGGGAGACCTGCAGGTCAGTGCTGAAGCTGTTAGGTCACATATCTCCATTTGATGTACAGTGCAGTTTTCATATAAAAGCAATAAGCTCCAGCTGCTTCTGATGTCAACTCCCTATAGGATTTATGGACTCCTGTCAGTTTGCTCACCTCTTTAAGGAACAGAGCAGAGATTGCTCTTTGTAGTGTTGTTGGGAAGTTTAAGTATGTGTGTGTAATAATACAGAGGACAGTAGTCTTCTGATCACCACATTAGACAAGTCTGTTCTTCTATAGACTCCAACCCTTTTTATATTGAAAAGGAAGCCTACAAGTCCATAAAGCATCAATTTTCATTGTAGACATCACTTTAAGAGAAATGTGATTCAGTTGCTATTTTGTAAAAATCTGCCCTTCTATATGCTGATAGATGTGCTTGTGGAGAAACCCTCCAGCAATAAGCAATTGTGATATGCACACAGCACAGAGCCTAGAAAGATTCCAACTAACCGTAGCTTATTGTAAGAGAAGGTATAAATATTTTTCAAGTTCACAGGGCCAGCAGGGAACATCAGATGAGCAGATGTGACCATATAATGCTACCTAAAGCCATTGACCTCTGCTTGCCTGAAGCCTGTGTCCAAGGAAGACCTTGGGCCTCCTTGGAACACATCAATAACCAACAAATCAATCTCTTCCTTGGATTGTTCTTCCCAATATTTATCATCTGTAAGCACTGTTGAGAAAGCATGCCTAATTTGATTTTTGTCCTATGTTACTAATCTTCAGCCATGGCTTTTCCATGCCTTGCTCGCTAGGTTAAAACCCCTGCAATAGCTGGCATTTCTCTCCTTGAAGACACCTATACACAGCATTAAGGTCACTTCTCAAACTTCTTTTGGGTCACCTGTGCAGCCTGAGTCCTTTGCAGCCTCTGTTGCATGTTATTTCCTCCAGCCTGAGAAGATGACTTCTGGTGATCTCCTTTTTATTGACTGTCAAAACACTAACATGATGTAAGACAGTCACCATAGCACAATGAATTTATTATTACTTCCATTATGGCGACTTTCCTCTATAATCAAACATTAACTTTGGAGTTTCAAAACTAGAAACAGGGAAAAACGCAAATGCAGTAAAACTAAAAAATAAAAAAATCCCCTCCTCAAGCAACAGAGAAAAACAAAGAGGGTATAGTTCCCAGGAGTATAACTGCTGCATCCTTCTGGAAGAGAGCCAGCAAAAGCATTTGCACGTCTTTGTGCTGCATCTCACTTGCACACTACACTTTTTCCATCATTAGCTTTGTCTAAACCCCTTTCCTATGTCTCCAGGCAGTTTTGTCAACATTCAAATGAATCTATGTAAAAAAAAAATAAAAATAAATAAATAAAATTAAAAACAACAAAACAAGAATGACAACAACAAACAAATACAGCACAACATGCAACTGGTTGGCTGCCCAGAACAACAGATAGCAAACACTGGTGGCTATGCACCTTGCATCAACTGCAGGTGAGATTTGGAAAGCAGAGCATGTGCTCCTGTAGCATTTGCACACTTATGAATGAGCTCTTCCTGATCTCAGTGCTCCACCTCTCAGCATGGTCCTTCACTGGCTGTAAGCACAGTGCGTGGGATCCCCCGTAGGTATGATAAGTCATACAGAGACCACCTGCATCTAAATCTGTCAGAGAAAATGCTCTTCTGAGATTTTCCATGATCCTTTCTTTGGAAGAGAGGCAGCATGGGACAGATGTGTGAAGCTGTACCTGGTGCCCTGGGCAACAAAGCAGAGGTAATTCATCTCTGCACTGAGCCAACTAAATTTATCCGAGAACCCACGGTGTATATATTAGCCTGCACAGCAAAGGTACCATAATCTGTACCCAAGTGGTATCCAGCTAAAGACAAACCTAAGGACATACATGTACATGAATGTACTGTTTAATACCATATGCATTTTGTGTGGGTACAATGAGGTCTTCCCTCCCATGTCCTACCATGATGTCCCCACCCCTTGGGAATTAGTAAGAGCTAGGAAGGGGCTAAGGCAAGCGCAGGCTGCCATGGGGATATAGAGTCAGGGGTGGAGTTAAGTTCCTCCATGCAAACAGCTGTGCACAGGTACCATGAGCTGCTGCAGCAGAGCAGAAGATACCTCCCCAAACTCCATGCCAGGGGAGAAGTGAATGATGCCTCATAATGTCAGTTGGTGGCTAACCCTAAAATCACACCAATCCAGAGATGAGTGATTAGGAATTCAGTGCTTTTGGAAGTTGTCCTGGACAGGCAGGTCAGACTGCCTGGTATCTCACAGCGTTGCACAGAGACTAGAGATACCTGATGTGTCATTACTGCTCTCATGAAATGAGCAGGCAAATGGGACCACACCACATGATCTGGTGGAGGAACTTGTCTGAGCAGGCCAGAGGAACACATTTAGGTTCTTCACTCCCTCACCACAACCAGAAGATAAAGAGGAAAAGACTTTCAACCAGTCCTGCCAGGACTAGTCAACTTGGAAGGTTATTTTTTTCCTTACACACATCTGGGCCTCTACAGTGTGGCTGGACATGTAACATCCTTGAAGCATTATGGTTCCACCAACTTGTTGGGTTACTTGGATAGGTTTTAAAAGCCTGAGTAAATGCAGCTCCCCTTCTTCCCCTCCTCTCCTCCTCAATTTGTCTTTCCTCCACTGCTCTCTTGTTGCTGGAAGAGTCACCTAAATGCTGACCCAGACCTGCTTATTGATCAGATCCTCACTGTGCCTAGCTCTGTTTGCTTCAATTTATGCCTTGCCCTGCTCTTCCCCCACTGGGTCTCATTTGCCCAGCTTTGCATGGAAACGAGATCACAGGGAAAAAAAGAAACCCTGGTTCAACCCAAACCTGGCCGGGAGAAGTCCAGGGCTCATGTGCAGACAGAAGAAGCCCTTGTCTGGATGAGTTTGCCGTACCATCTGCAGACCCCCAGGGAAAAAAGGTTCCCGAAGATGTGAACAGACTATATATGTTCCCAGAAGAGCTTGTTGGCAATGCCCTTGCAATCTTTTATGGCCTGCAGTACCAGACTGATCCAAAGCAGAAACACCTTACCCTACATGAGGTGAGAATTTGCCACCCAACTAGGATCACACCAAAAAGCACAGAAAAATCTGCTATACACAGATTATTTATTTATTTATTTTGAAGGGGATTTTTGAACTGTATCTCCTGTGCCTTAGCAGCCACAGC